TTATTTCCGATCAGGCTCATTTTCGATCGACATATTCTTGACACTTTTTGATAATAATGAAATGTTTGGTAACGAATTAGATAATCCTGAGTCTGGTATGTTAAATGTAACTGCCAGGCATCGCCGTTTCGGATTTGGATCTCTTGATGTTGCCGTTGATGGCTTTGGTGATGGCACACTTGGAGTTCGCATTATTACTGGAAGTGGAGATGCCATAGTGTTATCTATAACCACTGGTTCCGCTGATTTGTTTGTATCTGTTTTTTAGAATAAATCGAAACACAGATTCCTTCTCACGATTGTGATTAGTAAGCGTCTCTTACCGCATTGATTCATGTTGTCGGAACCCGATGCTGAGCTATTCATTGAGGCCATTGACAAATAGAAAACCTTTTGTTGTAATGAGTAAGAGGAATAAAACTAGTATTAGCGGATATCTGAAATAACAAACAAAGAGTATTTCATCAGTTGTCTTTGTTTGGTTCTCTTGACTAATGCAAAGAGTTTATTCAAAGAGTGCTACTACAACAAAGGCGATATACAATAGGAAACCATATAAAACAAGATATTAGTTACAGTAAGTGAATGTTTACAATGTGATGACTCTAAAGTCATCATAAATCAATGTGAATTTCGTTTTTCAACACAGCTAATGCGTTGAAAATCGAACGATGTAGAGCATTATTACTCTTCAACTGGTTTTGCTTTGCATTCAGCATGTGCATTATATTGCTTTTTCTCTTGTGACTCCATCGTTGTTGTTCCTTTTCCATCTTCTTGAAACGTTCTAACCGCAGTCTTGTTAGAGCTGATACTATAGCCTTTGACCTGGAAATGATGTTGTGAATTAGAGGAGCATGAGTATCAATCCATCTACTGATCCATCTCAAATAGTACATATTTTACCTCACAACGTTCAAGTTGAACATAGCATCGCAAAAAATCAGTTAGCTTTAAATTTGTGGTTACGTTCTCAGCTTGTTGAGTGTTCTCGAGGGTTGTATTCGTATTGTTGCTGGTTGATAATAAATCGGATTGCTGTTAAGAAATGATTGATCTTTACGATATTCGCGAACTTAGTTTTCTCTACGCACCTGGTCGATTTTCGATTGTTCCGTGCCTTCACCTAAAAAGAAAAAGACAATATCAAGTCACTAAAAAGACAGTGAACAAATAATGAGTTAGATTACTTCCATCTCGACATGTGGTTTTTGTATTGGACATTTCTTCAAGCGTTGAATTATATGTTTTTACGATAATATCTAGAAAAGGAAAAGAATCATCTACCAGGCATCGCTACGCTAAATATTTTCTTTTTCTCTATGAAATTATCTACTACGAATCACAAATACAAAGAGAGACACTAGTATGCGAAATATGTTCAATGTTTTATATTATAGTTGTTGTCGTTTCTAGAAAAAATAGAAAAGCTATGTATATGAAAACAAGTGCGTACGCCTTACAAGTTATATCATTTGTTTCGCTTATGTCTGTCCAATTGTTCGTGTTTCCAGTTACAAATAACTAACAACCGTAATTTAGTAATAGCTAAACAGTCACTGGCAGCGTAACGGATCAGCTCATGGCAAATTCCCTGCGTTGTTTGATTACTACTTGTTAGTGATTGCCGCCATTTACTTTCACTATGACTCTTGTCCAAAAATTCGTCAAATGCGTAAGCAATTGCCTTCTGAAGTGACCATTGATTGTGTTTGTGTTTCGCTGATCGAAGTGTACATTGATACAATTCACGAGCATCTTCATATGAACGAAGATCGCAATCATGGAAGTACTGATTGTGATATCATGTTTCAAAGGCAGTCTGTATATCAATGTTCTTCATTTGATAAAGAAACGACCAGGAAAAGAGCTCATAATCAATAAATAGACCTAGTTCGTGTTCAGCGTTGCCCCATGAATAGATGATATTAGATGGACCCAAAATTATCTTGAGAAGTGATTTAATCAACCAAAATGTCACTGTTGATGCAGGTGGTAGATGAGAAACTTCGATCAACAGAACAACGGATTGTCGCCGTATGAATTCAACTTGAATTAGTGCTGCTTCATGCGTAACGCAATCGTGTTCTGTATCAATGGTATATTCAGTTGTTTTTCTTCCCAAATCAATGAGGTAGTGCAATAACGAAGTATTAGTTCTCTGACTGATACAATATACTCGCCAATCATTCGAGGGGTTGAATCCTGGAAGAGTACTCAAGTGCACATTTGAATGTCGCTTTCGTTTGTTCGTGAATAGAGTTGAATTGGAATAGAAAGTTATATTTCTGTTCATAATGGATTTGAAACAGCTTGGATGGTACTATAATAAATGGATTCGATTGTTTTTGAGTTGTAATACCACTTGAGGAGTGTTGAAGCCGTAGTCAACCGTCTAAGAAATCTGCTAAAGATCTATCTGAAACAAGAACTGAAATAAGGATTATTGCAAAAATGATCAAAAGAGATACACAAATAATTCAATGGAAGAAGGCTAAAGCAGAATATATGATGTAAGTTATTAACATCAAGTTTTATCCTACGACACTAAAGATATACACTTTCAAAACAGATTGACATTACTCAATAAAGAAAAATGCAATCTAAAATCAACAGAAATCTTAAATTTTAAAAAGACGATAACAATGTATTGAGTGAGTAAATGTGTTTTGTAGTTAGGAAAATCTTAAATTTCTCATTGGATAGCGTCGAGTGAGACGCAAACTGTTTTGACCATAGTTCACGAAAGTATTGGTTGAATTCACATCGTGGGCCATAATCATAGTAATAACTGAAACGAGCCACTTTCTTGTTAGCGTCTAGCTGTTGGAGTTTTTCCATGCGTTGGCTCTGTAACTCGAACAAGTCAAACCATCGTCGACGAAATGTGTCATAACTGGTTTGATCTGAAGAATATCGCANGCAAGTAAAACAAATAGTGCATTCAACTACTTCCATCTCGACATGTGGTTTTTGTATTGGACATTTCTTCAAGCGTTGAATTATATGTTTTTACGATAATATCTAGAAAAGGAAAAGAATCATCTACCAGACATCGCTACGCTAAATATTTTCTTTTTTTCTATGAAACTATCTACTACGAATCACAAATACAAAGATAGACACTAGTATGCGAAATATGTCCAACGTTTTATATTGTAGTTGTTGTCGTTTCTAGAAAAGATAAAAAACTATGCATATGAAAACAAGTGCGTACGCCTTACAAGTCATATCATTTGTTTCGCTTATGTCTGTCTAATTGTTCGTGTTTCCAGTTACAAATAACTAACAACCGTAATTTAGTAATAGCTAAACAGTCACTGGCAGCGTAACGAATCAACTCATGGCAAATGCCCTGCGTTGTTTGATTACTACTTGTTAGTGATTGACGCCATTTACTTTCACTATGACTCTTGTCCAGAAATTCGTCAAATGCATAGGCAATTGCCTTCTGAAGTGACCATTGATTGTGTTTGTGTTTCGCTGATCGCAATCATGGAAGTACTGATTGTCATATCATGTTTTAAAGGCAGTCTGTATATCAATGTTCTTCATTTGACAAAGAATCGACCAGGAAAAGAGTTCATAATCAATAAATAGACTTAGTTCGTGTTCAGCATTGCCCCATGAATAGATGATATTAGATGGACCCAAAATTATCTTGAGAAGTGATTTAATCAACCAAAATGTCACTGTTGATGCAGGTGGTAGATGACAAACTTCAATCAACAGAACAACGGATTGTCGCCGTATGAATTCAACTTGAATTAATGCTGCTTCATGCGTAACGCAATCGTGTTCTGTATCAATAGTATATTCAGTTGTTTTTCTTGCCAAATCAATGAGGTAGTGCAATAACGAAGTATTAGTTCTTTGACTGATACAATATACTCGCCAATCATTCGAGGGGTTGAATGCTGGAAGAGTACTCAAATGCACATTTGAATGCCGTTTTCGTTTGTTCGTGGATAGAGTTGAATTTGAATAGGAAGTTATATTTCTGTCCATAATGGATTTGAAACAGCTTGGATGGTACTATAATAAATGGATTTGATTGTTTTTGAGTTGTAATACCACTTGAGGAGTGTTGAAGCCTTAGTCAACCGTCTAAGAAATCTGCTAAAGATCTATCTGAAACAAGAACTGAAATAAGGATTATTGCAAAAATGATCAAACGAGATACACAAATAATTGAATGGAAGAAGGCTAAAGCAGAATATATGATATAAGTTATTAACATCAAGTTTTATCCTACGACACTAAATATATACACTTTCAAAACAGATTGACATTACTCAATAAAGAGAAATGCAATCTAAAATCAACAGAAATCTTAAATTTTAAGAAGACGATAACAATGTATTGAGTGAATAAATGTGTTTTGTAGTTAGGAAAATCTTAAATTTCTCATCGGATAGCGTCGAGTGAGACGCAAACTGTTTTGACCATAGTTCACGAAAGTATTGGTTGAATTCACATCGTGCGCCATAATCATAGTAATAACTGAAACGAGCCACTTTCTTGTTAGCGTCTAGCTGTTGGAGTTTTTCCGTGCGTTGACTCTGTAACTCGAACAAGTCAAACCATCGTCGACGAAATGTGTCATAGCTGGTTTGATCTGAAGAATATCGCATCAAATCATCCTCGAAATAGTCGAAGAAATTCTGCACATGACTTTCCACAAAGTAAAATGAGTAGCCATTGGCAAGATAAGTCAGCTCGAAGAAGTGCTGATCGAAGCCATTCACTATGTTGCACCTTGGAATGGCCAACGACGTAGGACATTGTGTAACGTAGGGCTGTCGGATCGTGATAGACTCGAGTGTAGAGTTCACCCCTTCGATTTTCAATGTAAGCATTCCAATAATGGACATTTGGACCAATGGATAGTCGAAACTTAACACTGGGATGTTGTTTTTGTAACGATTCTAGATGCGTTTGAAGTATGTTGGGAGATTTATTCCAAGTGAAAAAGATGCGATCTTTGTGTCTAAAAGTAGAGATGACCATACTAATTAACAGGTATAGTGAACAAGAATCGAACTCACCTTCCGAAGAGTTCTTGTTTATATTCAAATTGGTTCAGTATGGACTTTTGCCAATCATAGAGGTAAATATTCGCCAAGGTTTCACTT